GGCATGCTGGGAACGCAGCGCTGTGCTTCGGTCTTCCGCCACGTTCTGGCACAGAAAGGAGTGGTGTGTTTACTAACATGCAGCTGTTGCCATGCCTTGGTATCTGGATTCACTGCCAAGAGCCTTTCCTGGGCTGAATCCTGATAGCTAAAGCCAGAGGGACTGACCAGGCCTTAAGGGATTTCCCTTAGTAGAGGCCCAAATAGGACCAACTTGGATTATCCAACTCTTAGAAGGAAGCCTACATGGGTAACACTGGACTCCTCCCAAATTCAATGCCATTAAGTAGATGCCAACCCATAGCGGCCTGATAGGACAGGGTAGAACTACCCCTGTGGATTTCGGAGACCCTAACTCTTTATAGGAGCAGGATGCCTTGTCTTTTGAATGGCTGGCCTTGTGATTAGCAGCCCAACACGTAACCACTATACCACCTGGGCTTCTTCTCCACCGGGTGCCTGCAGGCCCTTAGAGAGACCACCTCATGACATTAGAAACCCCCTCAAATAAGGAATCAATGGATGTGGTCTGGGGAAGGGCACCCTTTATCTGTTCCCCACTTGTTGAGCATTTAATGTGGAATTCATCCCCACACCAGATGACAGAGGGGAGATTTAGGAAAGTTGAGTCTGCCTCCCCATCTTGCACTTGACCTTGCCTACTTACCGAATGGGATCAGTGATGTCCAGGCGCTGAGCTTTCTGTTTTGGGGTGAGCTGCTCCCATTGGAAGTGGAGGCTCCAATCAAACCCTAAAACACAGGAAGGGCCTGGTTGGTGTGCTTTCCTGGAAGTACTTGCAGCGTTTTCCCACTCCCCACATTCTCCAGAACTTCACGGATGCACCCGGGGGCCGAAGGAGCTGGTCCCAGAGATAACAGGCCTCAGGGAGGCTGATCAGTTGTATAGCTGGCAAATTTGGGGGCTCTTTCTCTTTCTCCACCTCCTCCTGCTCTGCTTCTCTGCTTAGGTGGAGTTTTGAAAGAAAGGGCAGAGAACAAAGAGTCGGGCTTGACAGAGACCAGGGCTAGGATCCAAGGTCAAGAGGGACAGTTATAGAATCCAGTCCTCAGTCATGAGCCTCAGGGAGGTACAAGCAGGTCGACCCTACAGGATAGAGTAGAACTGCTCTATGGGGTTTGTTCTGGAAGCAGCCCGGCCCCTCTACATTGCTGATCTCTTCAATTAGCAGTCCCGTGCTTAACCCCTGAACCTCTAGATGACTGAATCTCCTAAAATTGGTCTTGAGTTGGGGATCATCTGAAGTGGAGCCTGAGGTGCCACCTCCCCAGAAGATTCCAGGTAGGGCCCATGGAGCAGGTCACCCTCAGGTCCCGGGTGAACTCTACGTTAGAACGAGAGCTCTGGAACTGAGGGTGTCCAGTCTAGTTCCCAGACTCCTTCCTCTCACAGTCTCAGTAAGGCGAGTCTTTCCTTGTGTTCCTCTTGAAAGCAATGAGTAGGGGATGGGAGTGGGGTCAGGGGGAGTCCTGCTTCAGGAGAGAAAGGATTCAGCCTCACTCACCCCCTCTCAGCTCCGAGGCAGATTCGATGTAGTTAAACGTGTCCAGGTGGATGATGTCGATCACAGGACACACAACCCGTGTGGAGTCCTGCAAACCAACAGAGGCTGTTTTCTGTCTGTGGTGCCCAAGAGCCTGGCTGCACGGCCAGGAATAGGAGGGTCCTGGCCTGGCAGTGCCAAGCGTTGTGACTGACTTTGACTTTGACTGAACACTTTCACCTCCAGATCTCAATGTCTACAAATGGGGGCACTGGATGTCTGGCCTCTCTCGCTCCCATGCCTAAGGTGCAGTTTGTCCTTGGTTCCAGAGGGCATCTAAGGCTGGCTAGAGAGTGCTGCACACTGAGAAAGGGGAAGGGGTGGAGGCGGGTCCAGAGGCCCTTTTACATCAATCAGGTTCTTAGGAGGCAGAAGATACAGTTAGCTGAACAGGTGACCTGAGGCCCACAGTCCCAAGAGGCAAAGAGACACACCACAATGCTTTCATTCTCTGGTTTTCATGGTCTTGGGATGATTGTTGTGCCTGGGCAAGGTGGTGAACAGGAACTCCAGAGACTCCTGACTTCCTTTGTTGCCTGCGTATTGTTATTGTTTGTTGCTGTCACATCAGTTCCAGCTCAGAGAGACCCCATGGACCACAGAAACACCACCCAGGCCTGCACCATCCTCACAATTGTTCTTATGATTGAGTCCACTGTTGTGGCCACTGTGTCCATCCATCAGGCCAAGGGTCTTCCTCTTTTGCACTATCTCTTCTGATAAGATGTCCAAAGAGACTTGTAGATAGATGTTCTCCAATCTGGGTCTCCGGTGTGCCTCACATCCTGTCTACATTCCAGATTCAGCTCCAATAGGCCATTAGCCACCTCCATGTGGGTTTCACATGGCCCATCCTCTTTTCCCCAGACCTGCTCCTTTCCCCAAATTCTCTATCTCTGTCATAGAACCATCACACACACCACACACACACACACACACACCACTACTAAATTAAGAGGCTTCACCCTCCCCATGAACTAGGCACTGCTAACACTAAGATTTCTCTTTTGAGTTCCTCCTCATCCTCCTTCATGCCTAGAATCCTTCAGCAGACTCTGAGCCACGCACCTCCCTGCTTGCCAGCTCGACCACTTTCCCTGCATTCTCCACAACCACTGTCAAAGTCCCCTTTCTGACAGGCAGGTCTACTCTGTCACTCAAGTGCTGAAACATGTTAATTGCCTCTAAGGTTCAAACTCCTCAGTGCAGTTGGTACTCACAAAAAGAGGGTTCCACATTCTTGAATTCAACCAATGGAGGATCAAAGATATTCCATGACCTGTGCATCTATGGGGTCAAAGCAATTCCTCACAAGCTAATAGTGAATAGAGGTAGAACGCTATTTACATAGCATTTATGTTATATTATATTATATTATGTATTATAATCTAGAGGTGATTTAAGGTCTATGGGAGGATGCTCTTAGGTAATATGCACAAATGATGTCATTTTCCACGAGGGATTTGAGTACCCTCAGCTTTTGGCATGGGGGAGTTTGAGGGGGTGAGTGTGATGGGGGAACATTCTCAGGGACCTCTGTATGTCTTTAGCTTTTCAGCCTCATCTCTTGCTACTTCCTCCAAACTATTCTGTCTGTCGGTATCAGAATCATGTGGGGAACATTTCCCTATTGTACAAGCCAAATCTACCCGTTCTTGAGATTCGTTAGGCATTATCTACACGAGGATACGCCAAAAGTATTGCTGTACAATCAGAAAGCTTCATTCAACAAAGACATCAAAATGCAAGCCCATCGTTTCTCGACATATCTTCCATCTGGGTTGATGCCACTTTGAAGGAGGTATATTTCTCTCTCTTTAAACTGTTCCCCAAGTGTTCTGTGCTCTTCGATTGACAGCACGTCAGAACGGTGGTTCTGTCACCTTGAGGGGCCTCAAACGACATTCTTTCTAAATGTTCTCTGCACCTGGGAACCAAAGGAAGTCTGAAGGGCAAGGTCAGGGCTGTAGCAGGGATAACGTTTCCACTGAAATTCTCATAGGAGTAGCCCTCGCCACTCTTGGAGAAGGAGCAGTGTATTGCGAAGAATCGGTGCTGGAGAAGAACACTGCAAGTGCCACGGACCGTGAAAAGGACAAACCAGCCTGTCTTGGAAAAAGTACAGCCAGGTGCTCCCGGGAGGCAAGAATCGCGAGACTTCATCTTCCATACTTGGGACCTGACGTCAGGAGAGGCGAGTCCCTGGAGAAGGACATCATGTTTGGCAAAGTAGAGGGGCCCTGGAGGAGAGGAAGGCCCTCCAGGAGAGGGCTTGACACCACGGCTGCAATAATGGTTCAAGGGCAAGAACCCCGGTGGGGACGGTGCAGGACCAGGCAGCCTTGCATTCTGCTGTGCATCGGGTTGGTATGGTACCTAACAACAACAACGCGGTTGTGATGGAAAAGTGCCTTGGTATACCTTCCCTGGCCTTTGTCTCACGACAGCAATTTTCCATGTTCCTCCAACTTCCTCCTAATATGCTCCGGTAGTCATCTCGTGTCCTTACAGAAAATCTTGCAAGATGATCCCACTGAGTCCCAGTGAATGGCCTCCACAACTTTCAGAGCTGGCCGTGGGGCATGAATTTGCTGGCCCAGCAGACCCCCTCAGACACCACTCTTGATTGGACCTTTTTTTTAAGGTACTCAATGAGACTCAGACAACTAACTGTATGACTGAGAGAACAAGTCTGCAGCCACCCGCTGCCCCATTTAGTTTGCGAAACGTGAGGTCCTTTTCTGAGGACTGACCTCTCCCGATAAGATGTCCAGAGTGACCGCGATATAGATGTTCTCCAATCTGGGTCTTCAGCGCCCCTCACATCCTGCCCACATTCCAGATCCAGCTCCACCAGGCCACTAGTCACCTCCATGTGGCTAACGGCAGGTTTAAGCACGCTTTGTTTGGAATAAACCTGTACATCTGGGCAGGCATAAGCTGGAATCCTAGCAGAAATTCTCTTGTACTTACCATTTCTCTCTCACACACAGATATATACAAGAGGAGGCTTTAAATAGGATGGTAAAAATGGAATAAAAAGACAATGAAATATTTCTATGAATATTTGGATGCTCCTCTATACATACAGACACATATACAAGGGGGGCGGCTGGTGTTCCCAAAGTTAGTGGGAAAAACCCATTATTTTTTCATTCCATTTTCCCAGGAACTTTTTGAAACACACACACACACACACACACACACACACTTTCCCCATCATCCTTACTAGGTACTTAATGATGCTCCTGATAAGGCAGGAAGGGAAGGACGGGCCCCCAGTGGGTAGTGCAGGGTGCCTGGGAATCGGGAGACTCCTGGATAACTGGATGGGAATGGCATTTCCTGGGCACGTCTCAGGAGAATCAGACAGGAGTGCTTTTCCAGTCCTGAGCATCTGTCACCCTTTGGTGCGCTTGGCAGGAACCTCTGTTTCTCCTTGAAGTCATTTAATTTCCTGGTTCAATCTCTCCTTCAAATGAGGCTGTCTTCTTGTTTTCAGCTCCAGCTGTACCACGTGTCTGATTTTAAGTTCACAGACTTAATTTGGCCCTCAGCCACCCACATGTGACTCACGCTGACAGTAGCACGGTGCCTCTGAAAACCAACTGGCCTGCATGGATGGAAAGCAGCACGCCTTGCCAATGCATTGCCTCTACCGCTGGGACCCCCGCACAGCTGTTTCATTCGCAGTCAGCCCGGCACCTGCCCAGCTGTTGCTGTTCCTCCTGGTTGTCTCTTGGGCCCCTGTCATCATGATCTGTGTGTCCAGTCACAGTGCCCATACATGGACACACTCCCAAAGACATCTTTTTGACTTGAACTCTGAAATGTTCTTAGAAGTCCAGAGACTGGCCTTCTTCTCGGGGTCTGACAACGTCCTCCTTCTTGACTGGTGGAGTCCCGGGCATCTGCTGCTGCACCCTGTCCTTAGGGAGACACTGTTTTATCTTAGTGTTCAAATGGCTTTAACATTTGGAAGCCAAAGTGCCAGACATATGTGCTGGCTGCCGGCCTGGACCACTGGCTTTCCCAGGAGCCATGCCTGGCTCTGCCTGGGGCTGTGCCAGCTTCCTGTGCACGCTCCCTGTCACGTATGAGGAATTCCATCCTCCTATTCCCGTCTCAACCAGGTGCTCCACCGTGGACAGCAGCAAAGGAGGGATATTTGGGGTTAAGGGCTGTGTGGTAACCTTGACCTTGAAAAGGAGCTGAGTGTATTTTATAAAAGGTCCATCAAAGTCCGGGCACAGCCTCTCTGTATGACTTGGGGGGTTGATGCCTGCTTCACTTCTACACCCCGCATCCCCTGCTCAGGTCAGATGGGTAGCAGGTGTTCAATCAGTGCTGGCTGACAGAGGGCGGCTGTGAACTCCCTCTCAGGATATGGTATCAGTGATTGTCAGGCAGGCTGAAAGAGATGTCTTCTCTTCCTGTAGGCTCAGGGATTGAGGGACTGTTGCCGGTTAAATTGGGTTAACCTCTCCTCCTCCCCCAAAATGCAAAAGGGCTTCCCCCAAAATTCATGGGAACACAAAAAAAGCTCATTAACTTTTAATTCCACTTGGGCACAAACTTTGTGAGATCCTCCTTGAACGTGTCCACTTGGCTAAGCCAGGATTCCCAGGACTCTTGTACAAGAGGATCCTCCAGTAGTGATGTACTGTAACATCACTTGTGATTAATGCAGATTAGGTTTAAGTTTGTTTGTGTTCATGAGGCAGAATTGGGTGTGTGAGGGGGTGCTTCACCCCTACTGAGCCACAGCCCTTATCTGACATAAAGAGTTCCCCTGGCCCATGGCTCACATTACCTACTGTTTTATAAGAAATAAAAGGAGAGAGGATCAAGCAAAGAAACAAGGATCTCGATGCTACCAAGAAAGAGATACAAGATCGCTGTGCAGAGAACTTCCAAGACCCAGGGGAAGGTTGATGCCAAGACATGTGGAGATTGGGAAGGAAGACCTAGCCCATAGATGCTGAAAGGAGACAAGGTCCTTCCTCCAGAGCCAACAGAGGGAGAAAACCTTCCCCTAGAGATGGTGCCCTGAATTCAGACGTCTAGCTTTCTAAACTGTGAGAAATTAACTTTCTGCTTGCCAAAGCTGCCACCTTGTAGTATTTCTATTAGAGCAGCACTGGTTAACTAAGGTAGGGACTCATAAAAAGTCCTGATGCTTAGTGTGTGTGTGGGTGGGTGGGGGGTATGTGTCTATACACCTTTAAAGTTAGTACCACACTCAGGATCAACTGGGCAGCTAGATTATGACCACTCTCCACTCCTACAAGTTCCCTCCTACCCCACAGCCCTCATCAGGAGCAAGGGCTGAGGGTTGAACGCACATGCCACTGGCCACCAATTACCACCTTAGCTTCACCTCTCATTTCTCTACCGATTTTGGTACTTAAAGCCACATTGTAAATGGAAAACAACAACAAAATTTGAACAGGGACAATCATGTACTTACTTGATCAACCAATACTATGGAGAGCCTACTGTGTTTTAGGAATCTCTGGGTGGTGCAAAGAGTTAGCATAATTGGCTGCTCATCGAAAGCATGGCAGATCCATTTCACCCCAGACCCCTGGGAAGAAAGACACGGGGACCTACTCCCCCAAACCAGCCATTGCAAGACCTTATAGAGCCCAGGTCTACTCTGATCCATAGGGCTCGTCATGAGTTAAAGTCGGCTCCGCAACAATTGTTGTTACCCTTTTAGGAACTACTGAATTGCTGCAGATCCAAATATTATTAAGACCTCAGAGTCTGCCCGATGTGATAGGCTGGTGGTACTAGATAACGCGAGTGTGGTATGCACACAAAGCCTGGGGCCTCCACTTTAGCCAGAGAGAGGGTGGGAGGGTCCCTGAAGCCGGGGACATTGTGGGGCAGCCGTAGGAACACATGGACTAGCTGACAGGACACCTGTGCTCCAGGACTGGCCCTGCCACCTTGAATGCAGGTGACTTTCAGTAAATCAGTACCCTCCCTGGGACTTCCTTTTGAAAACCCTCCTGCCTCCCTAACATGTTATTGGGAAGAATAAGGGAGGATGTATGTTCAAGCATGTGGAAGCATATGCTGTGATTATTTATATGCATTTACCAATTGGTATGGGGTTTGAGATGTCTTAAAATCCCCTTTCCAACTAAAGAAATAGGCAGATAAGGAGGGGCAGGAAATGCCCAACAAACATATGCTTAAAAAGAGATGCAACTTTGGGCTTGCTTCATGTGTCACCATATAATTAGAAGGGAGAGGGAAAGCCGGGAGGTTTCAACAGGTAAGACAGCAGCTGAGGCTGTTTACAGTATCGAGAGCCCGTCCTCTTTCTTATCTGCTTTTGAAAATCCCAAAATACAATGACAGTTTAAAATGTCCACTTCTACTCGCAAGATCAAATCTTTCTTTTTCTTCTTTTCCACCAAGACACACACAAACACACATGCACACACAGGCTGACACACACTCACGCTCCCATCTCAAAGGGAACATCCTAGAAGAACATTTCAGCCTCTGGCCTCAAGGTCCAGGGAAATGCCCTGCAGTCCTCAGGGGGCCCAGAGCCCAGCGCCAGCTCCGGAGTCCTGGCTTTTGTTCCTAATGCTTGAGGAAGACTGGCCTGCTCCCAGAGGAAGGAGCAATTGGTCCTGGGGCAGCACTCAGACTCGGAGAGGGAGATGGAGGCTTGGCCTAGGCCTGAGAGTAGTGGGCGAAGAGAGCCCCGTGGATGGTCTCCCCAGGTGAGCTAGCCACAGACAGAGATAGGAGAGCATTTCTCAGAAAGGGCATCTGGAAATGGCCTCAGAGCCAGGGGGACGGAAAGAGCCACGCAGACTCACTGCGGCTGCTGAGGACAGCAGAAACGCTGGCCATCCACCCCCAGAGACAAAGTCATCAGCCTGGCTCACAGGCCTTGGAAGGCTGACCCCTGGCTGATGGGTGTTTCTGGCTGGCCAGGCCTGCGTACAGTGCTTAATAGAGAGTTCATGGGATCAGTTTTTAGCCCTGATCACGCTCTGCCCTCTAGCAGTCTCCTTACCCCATGAAAAGAGAGCCTGACTTCCTGACTTCACCTCAGGGTTCCTGGCCAGCAAACTGGAGGGAGGGGATGGGGAGCCAAAGAGTGGTGGGAGGCCCCAAAGGTGAAGCTAAGTGAAGAGAGAGGTGGGAGGGGCAGGCTAGCAGCCTTGACTCCACATCTGCGCAGCATCCTCTTAGTTCCTCCTCTGAGATCTAAAGTCAACTTGACCCTAGAGGAACAGGTAGGGGTGGGGTTCAACCTATCCATCAGGACACAACCTATTGATGCCCCCTTGGGGGCGGGGGGTGGCCTTTAAATTAGAGAGATCCTGGGGACCTCTCTCTCTCTGTCTTGGCTTTTGCCTTCCTGCTGGCTTGGATTCTGTGTCGGCCTCCAGGGGCAGCCCCATGTGGGCCACCGATGCTGGGAGCTGTGGGTGCCTTACCAGGCTCCTGCTGACCTGTCTGCCTCACTTTTCTGCTTTCTTGACTCTCAAGAGGGCCCCGGCCAGCGTCAGACCTGTGGCCTTGAAGGGCTGGGCCGGAAGGCCTCCTCCATAAACAATTACTTCTTGGTGTGAAGTTCTTTCTCAGACACTGGTGAGACCCTGGTTTCATTTGTCTAGACCACATGAGTACCCTGCCTGGTCTAATACCCAAAGAGGAGCCCTTCCTGGGGGAAGGCACTCGACAAGCGAGTGAGGAGGAGCTGCCTTCTCAAAATAGAGTGGACCCAAGGTTGAGGCCCTCCATTGGCTGAGGTGGCCCCACTCGAATGAGAAGGGATAGCCGTAAACAGCCATTCGCCGTCGGAACGTGGAATGTACAAAGTAGAAATAAAGGATATCGGAAGTTGTACTTCAAGATTGATATCCTAGGCATGCGTGAACTGCAATGGGCTGGCCTTGGCCTTTTTGACTTGGACAATAATATGGGTCCCTATGCCGGACATGACCCATGCAGGATGAATGACATGGAATTCATGGTCAAAAGAACATTTTAGGATCTGTATTGAAGGACAGTGGTATCTGTGTTAGGATAATGTCTACGTGTTTATAAGGAAGATCAGTTAATAGGAATAGTATTCAAATTTACACACCAACCCCTGATGCCAAAGATAAGGGAATGGGTGACTTTGACCAACTTCTGCTGTCTGAAATTGATTAAGCAGGCAGTCAAGATGCATTGATAATTACTGACAACTGGAATATGAAAACAGGAAACAAAGATGAAGGATCAATAAAGCCTTGGGGATAGATATGATGCTGGAGATTGCATGATAAAATTTTACAAGACTCATTATCGATTGAAATAATTTTTTTTCAATTTCCAGAAGAATAATGGAAATACAAAGAAAGGAAGCATATCCGTCCCAGAGAAAGGGTAGAAAAAAGCAGAGGAATCAGGCGTCTTAGCATCTTGCCAACAAGTCTTCCTATTGGGCTTTTGAGGGAGGTGCAGTGCACACTACCAGTGCATAGACAGAGGTAAGAGAGGGGCCTTAAGAAATGACTGTTACAGTCTCATGAATTCTACTGCCTTCTTCCTACTGAAGACTAGCTTTTGAACCTCTGTTATCTGGCAGGAAGAAGGGTTGTCTCTTGCCCAGGAGTTATATGTGTCCTGTGCCAACAGCAATCTAGACCTTCTGTAGATGACTTGTCAGGTGAAGCCTAAGGCAACAGAACAAAGAGGTCACAGCCCAGTTCCATCCATGACCGCTATGTGCATTTGGCCAGATTTGGTTTTCTTTGTGCGTGTGTGTGCGCGCGCGCGCATGCATGTGTATAAGAAAGAGCTTTATATAAAAGAGCAATTGTTTGTTGTTGTTTCTTTTTCTTTAATCGTTTTGTTAGGGGTTCATACAACTCTTATTACAATCCATACATACATCAATTGTGTAAAGCACCTTTGCACATTCATTGCCCAGATTTGGTTTTCTTATCTTTAAAATGGGGACAGTGATCTCTGGCTTGCCTACCTTCCAGTAGCCTGAGGGAAACAGGGAGAGTTCTGTTTCCCCAATTGAGTTATAACAGTCCCTCAGAGGTGCTGGCATGACTCAGGGGCTCCAAGAGCAGAAACCTATGTTGTACCTTGGATTGTGTGCTATAGTAAAAAAATGTTTGGATTCCCAGGGCGGGGATGATGAATATATATGTTCATCAAAAAACAAACATATATATATATATATATGTTTGTTTTTTCTGAAAAGGTGGTATGATAAATGCAGTAAGTTTGCGTGCCTAGGAGTAGAGTAATGGGCTTGAGGTCCTGGGGGAAGTTTGGGACATGAGGGCCACTGCTTCTCTGCCCGACTCACCTCGTTGACTCTGTGCAGCAGGGGCTGCAGCCAGTCCTTGTTCACCTCGCAGTGGCTGTCCAGGAACGTCAGCGTGTAGCCTTGGGCAATGCTAGCACCCCGAATCCGGGACCGGACCAGACCTGCAGTCAGGGACACAGGGCCAAGTCAGTGCCATTGTCTCCCCATTTCCATCAGGACTATCGAGGAGTGAGCATTTCCCCTAAACACCCACACACCACCAGGAATCCCCTCCACACACACACACACACACACACACACACACACACACACACGCCAGACCAGTCTCCACCCCAATACAAGCACTCAAATAAACACACGCAAATTACCAGTCCCCTCCCCAGTACCCAAACACATGACTAACACATCACCTCCTTCCCACCCAAACACATTACCAGTTCTCCCCTCCACCCACCCCAGGTCTCTGGCCGGCAGCACTGACTGCCGGTCCTACCTTGCCGCTCAGTGTTTCGTAGGCATTTCACCTTGGGCAGGTTGATCAGAAGTTTGCAATCATCAGCTGCAAAGACAGGTATAGGGACTCATCTGTGCAACGCAACTGTGCACTGCCGCTGAGTCGAAACAGTAGGCAAGGCAGCCCTACCAATCTCCCACCCCCACCCCAAACTGCAGTGTCCTGTCCTAACTCGGGTTTCTGTGTTTTGGAAGGGCTGCCTGCACGTGGATCTTATACCAGGTGACCCATTCAGGCCACAGTGGTCTCAAGTGGCACTCTGTGGAGTAAGTCAGTCCCACAGTGGTACCCACATACTTGCTTAAGACCACTTCAGGATGGGAAACTTTGGAATGGTTATTTGGGGACATATCTTTTTCACTAGAGCTTGTTAAAAATATAACCTACGAGTGCTTCTTACTCTAGTGGGGGCTTGGTAATAAAATGTTGGGAAGCCAGAGAACAGATGAGCTCAGTTTGATCTTTTCTTTTCAGATCATGGGAGAAGACTTAGTAAATATATTGATTTTATTTATTGCTGCTAAGAATATAAACAACTGAACATATACCAACTTAATTATTTTCTACAGCTGCCATTCCCTGACCCTGATGACATTCCTTGAATTGAGTTGTGTACCCATAATCTATGTGATTTTTCCATCACCATAAACTGAAACTCAAGACTCTGTAGGCAGTAACATTCCCTTTTCCCTCCCCCTCCCACTGTTGACAACCATTTATAAATTGCTAGTCTCCATACTTGACTGCTCATATCTTTTGATATAATGAGTTCATATAACATTTGTCATTTTGTGATGGACATATTTCCCTTAGCATAACTTCGTCAAGCTCTACACATCCAGTAGCATGTACCAAGATTTCAATTCTCTTCCTCAGTATTTCATTGTGTGCATGTGCCACACTGTTCATTCCCTCGTTTGTTGTTGGGCATTTGGATAGTTTCCACCATTTGGTTATTGTGAATAGTGCTACAACAAATAGTCAATTACAAGTATTTGTTTGTCTCCTTGCTATCAAGTCTTTTGAATATGTACCTAGTAGTAAGCTGGGTTCTTTGGTAGCTTGATCAAATTGAATCTGACTAATGGAGACCCATAGAATGTTTTGGAGGCTATACATATTTATGGAAGCAGAAAGTGTCACCTTTATCCCATGGAGCTGTCAATGACTTGAGCAGCTAATCTTGCAATGAACAAGCCCAACACTTACCTGAGCATTCTACTATACAATCAGTCAACATTGCAATTTAAGGCTTAACTTTTTTTTTAACTTGAGATATCCCGAGAGTCATCTACCCTGTTGTGTTCTATCTCCAGCCCTCTGTAGATCTTTCATTATAATGCTTTTCTTTGTCTCCTCGAGGTGCCTTTTGAAATATTCTGTTCAGCTCTGTGTTAGTCCAGGTTGACTAGAGAAACAAATCCAGGAACACTGATATATGTGTAAGAGAGAGCTATATATCAGAGAGTAATTGCATATTAAGAAACTATCCCAGCCCAGTCCAGATCAAGTCCATACATCTGATATCAGCCCATAAGTCTGATACTAGTCCATACATTCCTCTTCAGACTCATGCAGCACATGCAATGATGCTGAATGTAGGAAGATCACTGATGGGTGAAAAGTCTTGTGGATCCAATGGCAGCGGAAGCATCTCAGCACTGGTGCCGGTCTTCCAGCTCTCCTCGTGTCTCAACAGCAGGAAAGTGACGCAGAGAGAGAGGGACTCCCACAGGGCTTAGCAAGTCTCCATGCCGTGACTTGTCAGCAGGAAGACGAAGGCAGAGAGAGAGAGGAAGTTCCCAAAATCCTCATGAGAAGTATCATCAGGCTGTGACCTGATTGAGAGGCTAGACTCCACCCCGACACTTATTGATCAAGTTGACACGAAATTATGTAACTACCACAAGCTCTTTTACTCCATCGCTTCTTCTATTTGCTTTTGCTGTTCTATATGTGTGCTTAAGAGGAAATTTCAGAATCTTGTCTGATATCTTTCCACTTTGGTCTTTTCTTCCTTTCTTATCTTTTAAAGGCCCTCTTGCTACATTTAGCTACGATGTTTTTGACATCATCCCCCAACTTATCTGGTCTTTGTTCATTCGTTTTCAATACTTCAAACCCGTTCTTGAGGCGGTCTCTAAATTCAGGTGGGAAATACTCAAGGCTGTATTTTGACTCTTGTGGAATTGGTTTAGTCTCCTTCAGCTTCAACCTGAACTTGCACATGGGTCATTGATGACTTATTTCACAGTTGGCCTCTAGACTTGTTTTGGCTGACAAGTTTCTCTATTGTCTCTTCCCACAAATACAGTTCATTTGTTTCCTGTGTATTGCATCTGGTGAGGTTCATGTAGATGGTTGCCATTTATATTGTCGAACAAGGTATTTGCAACAAAGAAGTCATTGGTCTTGCAGAATTCTATTATGTGATCTCCAGCTTTCTTTCTGTCACTAAGGGAATATTTCCCAACCAATAACTCTTCTTGTTTGTAACTTTCACAATCCAAAAATTAGCAATTATGAATGAAGCTTGATTGCTTGTTTGATCAATTTCAGATGAAAGAAGTTGGTAGAATTCTTCAGTTTTCATCACTGACTTGACTGGTTGGTACACAGATTTGAAAAATAGTGTATTCATCTTCCTTGTAGGTGTATAAATATCACTCAAAACGTTATACTTAAAGATAGATCTTAAAATGTTCTTTTTGACGATGAATGGGATGCCAATCCTCTTGAATCTGTCATTCTTATCATAGCAAGCCACATGATTATCCGATTCAAAATACCCAATTCTAGTCCATTTCAATTCATGAATACCTACCTAAGATATCAATCTTTATGTGGTCCCTTTCATTTTTGATGACTTCCAATTTTCTTAGAGTCATATTCCTACAAGTGGCACAGTGGGTTACGCATTGGGTTGGTCAGCAGTATGACCCTACTAAGCACTGCAGAGGAGAGAGATGAGACTTTCTGCTTCTATGAAGGTTTACACCCTCAGGAAGGCAATGGGGCAATTTGACTCTGTCGCTATGAGTTGGAATCAACTTGACGGCAATGATAATACATCATATAAGTCACTTTCCAATTATTAATGAATGTTCCCTGCTGTTTCTTCTCATTTTTAATGGTATCCTACTATCAGCAAGTGAAGGTCCCAGGAAACTTTTTTTCCATCTATATCATTAAGGTTAACTCAATTTTGAGGAGGCATCTCTTCTCCGGCTGCATCTTGAGTGTCTTACAACCCGAGTAGCTTATCTTCCAACACTCTATCTGACAGTGTTCTCCGGCTATTCATAAAGGTTTCTATTCCCTCAGAAAAGGACAGTCAATTATTCCTTCTTAATCAGTTCTTAGTCAGAAGCTCCACTGAACCCTGTCCACCATGGGACTCTGGTGGGATTTGAAATACTGGTGGCATGGCTTCTAGAATCACAGCAACACACAAGCCACCATAGTAAAGTATGCCCTGGCTAGGGAGATCCTTTCTTCTTCCTCCTCTTTCTTTTATCCTTCATCTTCTCCTTCTCTTCCTCCATCTTTTAAGTGGTCTGCTCACAGAACCATCCACGCACGGAGCTGGTTCAACTCCCCATTACATGGGAAATGTGCCAACTCGGACAAGTGACTAATCTTAGACATTTGCCTTGAGTTGTCCTTTTATTTGCCTGCTTGACCCATCACATCCTTGGTTTTGAACATCATCTCTTGACTCAACATTTACATTTTGCTTCTTTGGCTCTGACCAACCGTGACCAGTCTGGTTGGCTCTAGACTCTAGATAGCAAAACATGAAGAAAAGCAAAAAACAAAAACAAATTTCCTCTGAATCAGGTAGTGTTTCACACGTGTTAACACGGTTAATCCTTACCTACTCTTCCTATGTAATCGGCACACGCTATTGTCATTCTTTGCATTTTATAATTGAAATAATGAAGACACAGTGGGGGTAACTATATCCCTGCACTATAAAGCCAGTAAGTGAGGTATACGGTGTAAGGTCTGAACATGGGTAGCTGGCTCCAGAGTCTATGCTGTAACCACCTGGCTCCTCGGACTCTAGTGTCACTGGAATCCAACAACATTCCCTGATACTACTGTAGCCCCATAGCAGGACAAATGTTTCCCTACCGCCCTCTTCTTCCCTCATGAAGGGTAGTCATTTTACCAAGTTTCAGAATTCAGAATCCAGATCTTGTGACTCCGGATCTGGTAAATAATCCACCTGTGTATGACTCCCCACAGTCCAAGCCTGTGCCAACAATTGGGGGTTTCCAACACCTGTGCTTCAGCAGGATAGTGACTCCCATGTCCCGTTTCCGGCATCAGCTCAGGATTGGACTGCTAGCCCAGTGCTGGTGGGACAGACTCCATACTCCTGAGACATGGAGCGGCCCCAGGGGCCAGCCCTACTTCCCTGGCTCATCATTGGGAAGAGGCTGCTCTGCCTGGACACATTAGTGCCCAAGAGTGCCCTTGGCCTGCCAGACTGATGGCTCACCACTGGAGGGCTAACCATGTTTTTAGTCTTTATTACACCTTCCAAACTGAGCCCACAGCTGTCGGGAATGCCCACCTGCATGTCTTGCAAAGAGTGGGTTTGGATTGGGAATTTGGGTGGGATGACCGAGAGGGACTGAGGTTGGAAAAGGGGGGAAAGCCAATGTGATACAGAGCAGTGAGTTGCTGGCTGTCTCGTGGTATGCGATGGGATGTTCCACCAAGGATCCAAAAAACAGGGCTCGCCTAGTCCTCCCATGGGAATGAAAGGGAGAGGACATGGGGGACCCAGCACATTCTCTGAATCTAGCACTGTTCCACTGTTCCGCAGGCACCCCCCCACCCCAAGCAGGCCAAGTGCTTTCCCAAGCTGTACCCCTCCACCCCCGGCAGCACAACAACCTAGGATCTCTATCAACAGACACTGCTTCTGGACTCTGGACTCCTGCACTGATCTTGTAAAGATCCACCAGCCCTTCCCACATTCAGACATGTATCTGACTGTGTGGATGGGTACACACTAATACAATCAAACTTAGAATAAAGTTGCCCGGACAGAGCCTCAAAGACTCACTGCAGGTCACTCAAGCAAAACAAAGCCAAGCCAAACAAACTCACTGCCATTGAGTCAACTCTGACCCTGAAGGACAGAGTAGAACTGTCCCGATGGGTTTCTGAGATCGTAACAACTCTCTACAGGAGTAGAAAGCCTTACCTTTCTCTCTCAGAGCATTTAGTGGGTGTGAACTGCTGACCTTTGGGATTGCAACCCAATGCATAACCACTATACCAACCTAAAATATTTTTTTTAAATGTGAGCTTTATTTCCCTTTTTGAGATCAGCCGTGAATCTGCAAAGAATGCTGTACCATTTACATACCTAGGCGTCCCTCCTCTCTGACCATCACAGACTCACCTCTGTCTGATAGGCAGGGCTCGGGGACAGACATTTGTGCTTGAAGAGCATGTGCCAGGGAAGACTTACGGTCATTGCTGAAGTCGTCCACTAATATGATTTCCTGGATCAGATGCATAGGGGTGCGGTTTAATATGCTGTGAGATGAAAGAGGAAAACTCATTATGGCTTGTGGTGGCAAAAGACGCCGGCGTAGCCTGAGTTGTAAATAGGAACGGAGACTCAGAGCAAGCAGAGGGCTTGTGCACTCACTCTGCTCATCTGTGAGGCACCGAAGATCACTCAGAGTCCTCTACTGCCCACGTGCCTCCTGTGACACTGGGACAGGTGCCCCCGCAGGCCCCCGCCTCTCGCCTTCCTGCTGCCAATTTCAGTTCTCATTCTCAGACTCTTCCCCTGACCCACTCAGCCCCTTCTTGGCTGTGACTTGACCTGGAGCGTCAGCCCACACTCAGCTAGGAAGATGAGGAACATGATCAGGGATGTGCTAGGTCTTGGCCACCATGGGGCATGAATGTCGAGCTGCACTATGGAGGGGAGGGGAGAGTGGAGGAGGTGGCTTGGAGAGTCCCTGCAGGCAGTCTGGTCTGGGCTGTATCAGAACTCCTGGGAGGTAAGCTCCTTTGAGAATACAGCTAGAGTACCTCGGGTGCTCCCAGAAACATCTCAGAAGAAAGGTCTGGTGATGGGTCTACTTCTGAGCAATTGGCCCTGTGGGTTCTCTGTCACCCAAAGAGTCACCAGGGGTCGGCGTTCACTCAACAGCAGTGGGCCTTTTACAAGCCAGGCTCGGGAGGACAGGCCTGCTCTCTAAGGTGCGCGGCTCACTCCTCATGGACGGCTTTTCTCCCACTGCCAGCCATGCCCTCACTCTGCCCACAAGGCCCAGCTCCAATGCCTCTTCCTCTCTGAAAGCTTCCCAACCTACTTAGTGAGAATCAATTGCTTCCTTCTCTGGTTCCCTCAGCATTTGTATGGACACCTCCTGCCACACTGAGGGCTGCCAAACTCGGGAAGCTGACTACGTGCCTCCCCCTTAGATGGGACTATCCCCAAGGACAGGGACCTTGTCTACTCAGTGCTCATCAGAGCCAACACAGTATCTTGGCCCACGGTTAGAGAGATGCTTAGCTCACACCTACCATGTGCAAATGAAAAGCTCAAACGCACTGCTATTAAGTTGATTTTGACTCATAGTGACCCGATAGGACAGGTTAGCACCCCTGGTGGCATAGTAGTTACACAAGGTCAGCAGTTTGAACCACCAGTTGCTCTTGGGGAGGAAGATGAGGCTTCCTACTCCCATAAAGAATTTCGGTCTCAGAAACCCACAGGGACAGTTCTGCCCTGTCCTACAGGGTTGCTGAGTCAGCACGGACTCAATGCCAGTGAGATCATGTGCAAATCAATGTAGTTAAAGATGGATACAGGAGATGGGATCTCTATCCCCCAGAAGTGTGTGGTCTACAAGCTGTGTCATCTTCAGACGGTACTTTACTGCTCTGTCCAGTGAGATCGCACCATCAGTGAAACTGGATCATCCTAGCTGTATCTTGTTTTCAGGACTGTTGAGTGCATGAGAGAAGAAAATGTATACGAAGTATTTGGCCTAATCTGGGTACTTAGATAGATAAATAGATATTGATAGGTGAAATAAAAACAGTTGCGGCTCAGTTGACGCCACTCAAGGCCATGCTATGCGTGCCCCATCCGGCTTTCAGTGGCTGATTATTTACAAGTATTTTGCCAGGTCTTTTTTCTAAGGCTCTCCTGGGTAGATTTGAACCACCAACTTTTCAGTTAGTAGCTCAGCTCTTCACGGTTTAGTGATGATAAATGGTAAAGCTTATTACCCTCTCGAGCACCAGTCATGACATTTGAATGACAATGACTGTGATCCATGGCCTGGGTTCACTGTTAACTCCAGGCTTCAACCATGATTGAGATGGCTGGATCCCACCTCTCCCAAATGCCCAACCTGCATAGTTACCACCCACTGCAAGATGCCCGGAGCCCCACATATGTGGGGAGAGGACTTTGAATGGGTGCTGTGTGGACCTCTCCTCCCAGGGCTCTCATTCTGAGCCCAGTTCTCAGGGGGCTGCACTTCCCTACAGATTCAGAGAGCCTGCAGCTGCCTTCTTACCATGGGGTGGTAGTTCGCGTTTTTGTGTCGACTTGGCTCCACTGTGATTCTCAGTGGTTTGGCAGTTAAAACCTAGTGACCTATGATGTGACCCAACACAATGTGATCACTTCCATAATGGGGTCTGCTACGAGTCAATCGGTTTTAAGATTAGAGTATGACGCGACACCCTTATTCAGGCCATAGCCCTAATCCAGTCCATTGAAAGGAAATCTCCTCAGGGGCGTGCCTCCTGTTAATATAAGTAGATGCTGTAGACAAGCTCGCTGGCTTTTTCTGGGTCTGGATTCTGCGTCTGACTTGACATCCGGCCTCCGGCTCTTCAGGCTTCAGTCAGCAGCCTGCTGTACTGTACACCTGCTGGTCTTGGGAGCATGAGCAGGAATCTGACCTGCTGAATGGGGATTCATTGGATTCTGAAGCCAGAAGCCTGCCTTCTGACCTGCCAATCCTGGGATCATCAGCCCCTGCAGCTACCTGAATCAAGGAAAGCCCCAATCTGATATCTGACTTACAGACGTGGAACGTGCCTGCCTCTACAACTGTGCCAGCCGTTTTCTTGATGTAAGCCCTTCTCTCTAGATACAGACAAAGGCATCATTAGTTTTACTTCCCCAGAGAAGAATGGTCCGAGGGCTCCTCAGAGGCAAGGATGGCAAGACTTTACCTCACACACTTTGGACATGTCAGGAGCGACCGGTGCCTGGAGAAGGACATCATGCTTGGCAGAGTGGAGGGGCAACAAACAAAGGGAAGGCTCTCAAGAGGATAAATTAACACCATGGCTGCAGCGGTGGATGCAGGCATTGGAGCCGTTGTGAGAGTGGTGCAGGCTGGGTAGTGTTTTGTCCTGTCGTGCACAGAGTCGCTGTGGGTTGGGGCTGTCTCCATGCCTAACAATAACAGAGAACCTAGCCTACGACACTGGAAAACTAGTGTAAGGTAGTGCACAGACCCTCACAGTGTGAAGTCCTACTCCCGGCCTGGGGCCCAGAGCATAAGGATGGGGGTGGTGGTGGTGAGGGTGGTGGGGGGTAGGCACCATCCGAAGCTGTCCCAATGAAGGTAGGCACACAAGACCAACACCCAGCCTTCCAATCATGGCGGCGGTTGAGGGGAGGGAGGGAGACAGGAAGAGAGGGGAGACGAAGCTGCTGGAAGAATAACCTCTAATGAGGTTTGATTACGGATGGAGCGCCTGCACGCGATTCTCCCCAATCCCTGCCGGCTCTTTGAAATTCAAGAGTTCTCTTATGTGAACATCAAAAGGTAAACTGCACGCCGGCTCTCTGCCGGTTGAACTGAGAGATGATTAGCGAATAAAAAATGTCCAGGGTTTAAAAAGAGAAAAGAACGAACGAATTGTCAGCAGCAAGTGCTAATTATACCATTTCCTGGTAACACCTGGCTTGTTTTTGGCTCTTCCAATCAGAGCAATTGGAGTGATGGCTTGGCCTCCATCATGTGGCTCCGGGCTGGGAAGCCGTCACTGGGGCTGTGCTGAGCCTCTGTCCACAGGCCCTGGTTCAGAAGGGACCCCGGCTTATCCACACCTTCTCCCCTGAAGCCTAACCCATCCCTTCCTAAGCTCCCTTCCTACGTTCTCCTGGCTGCCCACCGCCATGGCCCCCTCATCAGCAGAGCCAATCTTCCCAGTCCTCTTGGACCCGGTCTTCTGCGTCTGGCCGTGGCATTCATTCTGACTTGTGGGGACCCTAATGAGGAGAGGAACTGTGGGCCCATAGATCACCAGGCCTTTCTCCTGAGGCACCTGAATCTCCAACCTTTCCATGAGCAGCTCAGTATCGTCAGCGTTTGTCCCATCCAGGGCCTCCACGGGCCCGGCTTCCACAAAGGCTGCGTTTTTTCCATGCTTTCGTCCCAGGCTGGCTATACCAAGCTTCTTCTTCGTGCGGCCTGGCCTGAAAGAATGGGCTCACGCTTGCTGGCACTTGTGACAAGGGCACACTGCTGGATGCGGCTCCCCTTCCTGCCAGAGAGTAGCCGTGTGGACTCCTCCTTCCTGCCTGCTGCCCCTGAGCATGGAGCATGCAGAGGGGCTCGCGGAGGGGCACGCAGATGGGCACGCGGCGAGGCACCCAGAAGGGGTTGAGCAGTTTGCGTCGTCTGTGGGTGGGGAGGCCAGGCTGCCTCCAGCACTTACAGGCTGTGCCCTCGAGAACAAGGCACTGGCCCCCCTCGAGCAGCCCTTTTCTGCTGTAATTACATTTTCCTCGTAAAAGCAGGTGATATTAATACTTGACCTACTTCACAGGCTTTTGTGCGCCCAAAATGAGGAAATGCATTTGAAATTGCTTTGTGAACTCCACGGTGCTATGCGCCAGCAGGTTTTCATCCAACACTCTGTAAATAGCAGTTGAATGAAGAGCCGGGGCGGATTGGTGGAAGAGTTGAGCCATTGTGGGGTGAGACGGTCACGGATTCAAGTGCTGGATCCGTATCTGCCATTCACTTTCAGGGAGAGCTTCCGGGAGTATTCGGCTTTCAGAACTACAATCCCCTCCACTGCACAATGCACATATCACTACCGACCTCACCAAGATGCTGCTCTGTGCGCCCAAGGAGCTTAGCGCCTTGCGTGGTACCTCCCATTGCTCTGTGCCGCTGCACACTGAGCAGAATAAGGCGACAGTTGCTAAAACAGCAATCTCACTGCCATCTACTTGATTCTGACTCACAGTGATCCTTAGAGGATGCGATAGACTGTCCTGTGGGTTTCTGAGACTGGAACTCATTATGGGAGTAGAAAGCTGTTCTTCTGAAGAGCTGCCAGTGGTTTCAAACTGCTGACCTCTTGCTTAGCTGCCCAACACATAACTACTATGCCACCATGTCTAACGATTTAAAAGCAGTAGCTCTCAGAGTGTGGTCCCCAAACTAGAAGCATCCAGAGGTCTTAGAAGCACATGCTCAGGCCCCACCTTGAACCTCCTGAGCTGGAATCCCTGTGTTATAACAAACCCTTCAGGGGAATACTCAGGTCCAAGGGCTGATGCCTCAGAACCCCTGCTGTCAACCCAGGCTGAAGTGACTTGTCATACTACCCATGGTCACCTGTACAGTTCACTATGGGACAGGCACTGTTCTAAGTCTTTGTCCGCCTGGATGCAATCCAAAATCTCAACAATCGTTGTAAACTCCCTGCCTTTGAGTCAAGGCTGGCTCATAGTGACTCCTGGTGGGTTTCTGAGACAGGAGTTGAAAGTCAAGTCTTTCTCCGAAGAGCTGTTGTTGGTTTTGAACTGCCAGCCATGAGGACTGCAGCTCAACTCTTAACCACTATACCACCAGGGTTCCTCGGTCAGTTATCTTTAGGGCTGCCTATTTTGAAGACAGCTGAGAACTTCAGTCTAGCCAGGCCTCTCCTTGTGTGAAGAAGGTCCCAGTGAGCTGTCCTACAGCATGAAGACGTTGGTCTTCCCTCGGTGCACATCTATTGCTGGATTATCTCCCATTACAGACCTTTTGGCAAGTTGACCCTCTGCTTGGAATTCCTGCCTGCTCACAAGCAGGCCAGGTGTGCCAAGGAGAGAGGCAATACCAAGAGTTTGGTGCCCTTAGTGTGCTCGCCTTGTGCCCGTTCAAACTCATCTTCTTCTCTGGGTCTGGGGGTTACAACAGGCTGTGTGCCAGACAGGCAGTTTTCTGCGAGGCCAGGATTTCCTGGCCTGAGGAGGTGGCTGTGTTGGCCCCAACACCTTCCCCGGTGACGCCAAAGTGCCACCACGGAGAGTAACTTTGTCCTGTTGGGCAAAGCTGCCATAAAGCTGGGCCCAGAAGCCATAGTGCAGGGCCAGGACTCCGCCCCACCACACTTAGCCAAGTCCCAAGAAGCCTTGATGTGGTAGCTCTCTGGCTCAGTTCCCTCAGCTGTGGGGTGGGCACAGCAATGTCGTGCATAGGATCAGACTGTCACAGCTGGTGGCCGCTGCTCCTGTCACCTGTGATACAAGTGCTGCTGGAGGTGGGTGGGTGGGTGGGGATGTTCAGAGAGAAGACACTGGAGGAGGGGCCAGGGAGCTGGAACATCCAGGGTCTTCCAAGGACAGAGTGAGAAACTAATTCTCAGGCAAGTCATCTGAGTGCTGGGTAGGGATTCTGAGGGGAGTTCTGTTAAGGGTGGGCCGGTATGTAGTCAGTACCCACCTATTAGAGCCTGCGCGTAGCCAGGTGAGGGCCTGCGGGTGGGGTGGACAGATGGAGGCACGCAGAGAGCTAACATTCTACCCTCGGGTTGTTCTGAGGGGCTCTGTCACTGCCCTGCCACCTGCCTCCCTAAGACGAACGGCCGTGGAGAAGCAGGGATGGGGAGCAGACCCTGTTTGAATGCTAGCCTCCTGCTGCTTACCTAGCCGAGGGCATGGGGCATGCTACTGAACCTTTCTGGGCCTCAGTTTCCTCATAATGAGGTTTGGCACTACGTCTAGTGACCGTGTCACCTAGTGGCTAAAGGGAAAGGTTCTGGGACCCAGTTTCACTAATTACTGCCTATGACTTTGGGCAACTGGCCTAGCCCTTAGTGCCTTTGTCCCCCATCCTATCAACTGGGATCAGAATCTCCCCCATAGGCTAACACATGTCAGAGTTCATGAGCAGGAAGCATGTAGGAGCACCTGGCTAGAAATGCCTGATGCTCCTGCCCAGTGAGCTGACACGCGGCTGCCAAGAGCTTGGGCCAGCAGCCAGATGGTGGATGAACAGGAGAGGCTGCCTTACCTGCGGATAGTTCTGAGCAGGGTGGAGCGGGCCTCATTGTGGAAGGTGATGATGATGCTGGTGGGTGGAATGTCCGTACAGAACAGCCTCAACTTGCACCTGGAGAAGAAAAGAGCGGCAGGGCAGGTAAGACCTCCCGCTAAGAAGCAGATGGAACAGGCTGTAACCAAGGGCATCATGGAAGTCACCTGCACCACAGAGGCCTGCCTCTGGTGGGGCCTCCCAGCTACCTTTTCCTGGACACAACCCCTGGGACTTGGCCCAGGCCTGAGGGAGGAGCTACGGGAATGATGAAAGCTGAATTATCCGCCCCACTCCAGGGAACACTTGGGCTTGGAGGGACTGAGTTGGTGTTCAAAAAAGAAAGGCATTTCTGGATGGAACTCAATGGCTAAGAGCTCAGGTACTGACTGAGAGGCCTGGAACTCTGCTAATAAAGGCACCGCCTTTGGAGCCATCCTGTTCTGCACACACAGGGTCGCCAGGAGGAATCAGCTCAGTGGCAACTGACATAAGAAGCTAAGATGCTCTCTGTGGCATGTGGGAGCCGCGCCCTGTGGTTTCCGTTGTTTTGTGCTTTTCAGTCCACCTGTCGCCGCCCCGGAGGACAGAGAAGAACTGCTCCGTGGGGTCTCAAAGGTTGCTATGAGTCGGCACTGGCTCATGGCTATGGTTTGGCCATAGTTACTCTTTGTGGAGGTAGGCTGCCATTGTCTTTCTCCTGCAGGACAGCTAGTGGGCTTGAATCACCAACTGTTCAATTAGCAGCTGATCGCGTAAGCACTAGGGGCTCCTTCAATGGTTTCACTCACTCACTCACTCACTCACTCACACACTCAATCACACACTCACTCAC